TTGTTCTCTGAAATTTTGCCACGTGTATTTTCCACAATCGATACGCGATTATGCTACGAAAAGTCAATATCTAATTTGAATTAATTTACGATCATTAAAACGTTAATATGGAGAAACAGAGCACAAAATCAAAAACTTATAAAACATTAACTCCTGAATATTTGGAGTGGGAAGCTGAAATTAATGTAGCGCCGGGTATTTCGATAGATGAGATTCGTCCTAAGTTGTATAGAATAAAATTGGTCTCGATCCATGGAAAAATGATAACGTAGATAAACCGTATTTCGGAGAAATGACACTTCGTGCCTTAACACCTGAATACTTGGACTGGTATGCTAAATTGCCTGAACCACCAAGTTCTTTGACTGATAAAATTCGTTTGATCTTATATAGTGCATATACGGAAGAGACTGGGCTCGATCCCTGGATAAAATCTGAAACTTCAGTTTGTGAGAAACCAGAAGTTAATTCGAAGCTGTTAGATGAGATTACTGAACTTAGAAAGGAGAATATCAAAATTAAAACTGAGAATACAGAGTTAAAACAGGATTTAGATAAATTTAAAAAAGAACTAGAATCTAAGAAAAATCGTAGATTCCAGGAAAAATGTATCCTAATAACTCAAGTATTACTTGGAGAAAAGCCGATAATTGAGTATCGTCCTCCCTTCTTGAATGGATTAGAACTTGATGCCTTCTTTCAAAAATATCAGATCGCATTAGAGGTGCAAGGAAGTCAGCATCGGCTTCATAGCACTAGCTGGTATAAAGATGTCAAAAAACTTGAGGATGTTATAAATCGTGATCGGCTAAAAAGATGCATATGTCAAGATAATGGGATTTTCCTCCTTGAAGTATGGTATGATGAAAAACCGGAAATTGTTATCCCCGAAAGAGTGCAGAAAATTAAGTGTTTCGTTAATCGGACATCCAAGATTTTCAATCTATAATCATTTCATAATATCGATATCTAAAACTTAATATGAATTGCGGATAAGTGTTTAATATATAATTCATCTAATTTTGCGTTGCACCACCCTGATCATATATTTTTTCTCCAAATTTATATTTGTCACTTTTGGATACTTGATTAGCTTTATTAATGCATTGCCAAAAATTCTCACGTATCGATTGTATATGACCAAAATTTAACAGATCGGGATAGGCTGGTCGGTGAAGAGTTATTACGTCGCAGTATAGCAAAGAGTAGTTTAAGTACTGCATGGCTTGACGATCTGATGAAAGAATGGGAAGAAATCAATACTCAATTCATACAAATTTTCAGCCAGGCATAACCAGATCAGGAGGCCTTCTGTAATAATTCTCTTTACTTTTATATTTGCCTATATGTTTATTATATGCATTATATTTAGACTTATTTAGCTTACCACAATTCTGTCTTTTTATATATATGCTCAAAGTCAGAAAAATAATATATAGTAATATATTAAGGTATTTCACCTAATCTATTCTCATGATTATATTTTTTAAGTAATTTGGTCCACCTTTTTTTATGATAGTTTGATTTGTTGTGATATTTTCTAGCATATTTAACACATATACCATATATAGAAGCAGTTAGTATATTACACTTTTTACAAGGATTATATAATTGCATTTTCTAATGAAAAGCATAACCCTCTTGTCAGTAACAACCTTTTCTACAAATTTGATTATCAATATAAATATGTGAGCAAGAATAGAATGTCATCATTAATAATAATAACCTTCAAATTTTGCTTATATGAAATAATTATTTTTTGAATTAAACTTTTTATGTCACTTTTATTATAAGTTAATAAACAACGTATTATATATTTTTTGTCAGATCAAATAATATACATATACAAATAATATATATATAAATCAATAAATGAGTTTGTCTAGTGAAGCAAAAAAATATCTTCATGAATTATTACAGCAATAGTGCTTAAATTAAAAGTCAGCTGAATATAATGAAGCAAAAAGACTTTTTATGGATTTAACAGATCTTAACTATAAATCTGGCTATAAAAAACATATATTTTATAAATACTGGCTTGCATCTAATAAATATACTAGCTCTTCTGATAGAAATGATACTGTACTTTTAGATGCATATCAATCTGAAGAGATTCATTCTCAATATATAATTTGAATAGCAGAAAAAGGTTATATAGTAATTAATCATTCCTTTGAAGTTTATAAAATATCTGATACCCATGAATATATTAATGGAAATCAACTCCTATACTTAATTATTGATATTGATGCAAGACAAAAGCCTGATCCTACAAATTCTAAAGTATCTTCTTTAGATGATAAAAAAATTACATGAGAAGATTTGTTATCTTGAATTTTAATCGCTTGTGCAGATATATTAAGTCTTATTCCAGATTGTATGCCTTTCTTAAATTCTTTTATCTTAGCTAGTTCATCAAATGCTAAGAAATATAGTTAACATATTATTTATTCTCATGTCTGATTTATAGATTATAGAGAACTTAAGGGATTCACAGAAAAGATTATAGAATTAGTTAAAGAATCTTATTTAAAATTAGATATTGACTTTTCGTAGCATAATCGCGTATCGATTGTGGAAAATACACGTGGCAAAATTTCAGAGAACAA